AAAAAAAAAAAAAAAAAAAAAAAAAAAAAGCTCCCAAGGAAGGCTTGTCAGCTGTAGACATTGTAGTAGCAGAAGTGAGAAATTCAACAATGAAATGAAAATGAATGCATAATATGAACGCACAAAGGTGCTGAGCTCTAAACAACGGAAAGCATTTTTAATTGCTAAACAGCACCTTGGCTCCCAGTGTGCTTTATTGACAAGCATCTTTCAAGAGCCACAAGAGGCAGCACCTGCTCCAGGAAGTCTCCATGCATGGAGAAAGTCCCCTCCACCATCCTTACATACACCTAGGGAGTATGGAGTATCGTGTGTGTGCCAGTCTCCCCACCCTGACTGAAGGGCAAGGCCTCGTGCTCTTCACCTCTGCCTGCCACAGGAATACTGACTATCGCAGCAGATTTGAAATGCAAATGCGCTTTTGAAAATTTAAGGCACAATACAAAAGATGATATATGTAGCACAACAGGAGTACAGTTCTCTGCTACGTTCTCAGTTCTGACTTCTCTGTCTTCTCACCAGTCCACACCTTCTCACCCACCTTTCCACCCTTGCATAACTTTCAAATTCATGATAGGAATCATGTCAGTTTCCTTTTCATCATGTCGTTTATTCTTTCCAACATCTTACTTAAAAAAAAATTGCAACTGACCTCATTCTTTCCTCTGAACCTTTAAAGAACTTTTTTCTTTTGGTTATTTCTCTGTCTCTTTTTCCCTCTCCTTTCAATTACTTATTCATTTGTTCTTTCACCCTGGGTCAGGCATTATGCCAGATCTTGGGATGTGTAAGACAGTCCTTGCTCTAAGCAATTTCACCAGCAATAGGGGGAATGGGCAGGGGAAGGGGCAAGGGACATTTCAACCCAGTGCAGCAGCCATGGTATAATGGAGCCATGTCTTCACTTGCCCGCTGCTGTCCAGTGGAGGAAGTAATCGACTCTGCTTTGGGTGAGGGGCTGGGCACAACTGGGAAGGTGATTCTCAGCTGTTTCCCAGGCTGACTTGGTGATAGGTGAAAGACTGGGGGGACAGCAAATGAAAGACTTCAAAATAATCTGGTACATGGAAGGAATTCTAAATGGTATAATTGATGAATAATTTGCAAAAACTCTCTTGCATTTTGGAGCATTTCTTCCTCAGTGCAAGGCAGCATGCTATAAGCTGTTTTTCTCCAATATCTCATTCAACACATACAATATCTTCATGAGGTAGGCACTAATACCATCCCTATTTTACTAATGAGGAGATCAAGGCTTTGAGAGGCTGAGTGACTTGTCCAAAGGGAGGCAAGTAGCAAAACCAAGAAAACCCAAGTCTACGGAAGCGTTCAGTCTTAACCTCTAACCCTTTACCCCCTGCACCCTCAGCCTTAGTGTGGAAGGAGCATGGAATTCAAGGAGGTGAAAGGAGGAAGCACAGATTGGCTGGGAAAGGAGGAAGAGCTCATGTTCTGGATGTCCTGAAGGTGTTTCAATCTGACTACACAACCCTCACTCCACCTTTTCCTCTTTTCCCCAAGGCTGTCTCCACATGTTTTTGCAAGACAGCTGGAGCATCCTGCAGCTTCTGCTACAAGTGGGGCATTCACTAGGAGATGGTGGGCTCCTCCCTCCACTAGGGATAGAGGGAGAGCTTCCTAGGCACAATGAATAAGTGGACTAGACTCTGAGAACCAGGTCAAGGTGAGGTTATGGGGAGCCAGCTTCCCAAGCACATTGGAGTGGCACACGAAGACACGCCGAGAGGTCAAGAACCACAACCCAGGTTGTGCTGCAGGAGATCATCAACTCCAAAAGCTATGTTTGGTTTCACAAGGATCAGGAGGATGAAGTCCCTTACCTTAATTCTCCAATCTCAAAATACTCCAGCTTTAGTTCAGGTAAGGACAGTTCTCAAGTCCATCCAGAGTGCTGAAGGGATATGTTTTTTTCAGATTGAAAGTGCCTAAATCCCAGGTGTAACAGGATTCTAGGAACACATAAAAAAAGGATACATATTAATACTAATGTTTACCTGGAATAGATTTGGTAATGAGATGTTTCATTCATTTAAAAGATAAAGACTGCATATTTACTATACGCTGAATGAGGAGCACAAGAAGAGAAAACATTTAATGAGCAATGTTTATGTGCCAAGCACTGTGTTAGGCATTTTATATATATTAAACCATTTAATCCTATGAGATCGGTTTTGATATCCCCCATTTCTGAAGTCACATAGGCAGCCAGGCCAGAAGTGATGGTTGGATCTTTCTGACTCATAAGCCCCTACCCATCAATCATGTTTCCCTCCCCTACTACAGCATTTTCATTCACCTTCTTCCAAGAAAACTAGGTAGAGATGAATAAGAAACATACCCAATAACTTCATTCTGAGAATGGCCGGTCCCTGGGTGCCCAGCCCATTTCATACACAGTGGGGATCCTGTGAGCCATGGAGGCTGCATCAGATTAACTTTGTTGTAAGTTTTATCTGAGCCCAACACTGTCATCTGGTAACATGTGTTCTGCGGACCTCATGCATTATTCAGGAAACAAAAAAATGTAGCTCACCAGAGATTCCTAACTGATCATCAGGATGGCTAGATGAGGTGGTCAAAAGGGGTGGGACAGTGTGGAGAATGAGGTCCAGGAGCCACCCTTCTACGATACCCTGAAGCAGCGCCTCGTACTTAGCCTGGGGGTTCAGGCACTGACCTTCTCTGTCCTTCCAAGAACTGTGATGCTCCGGTGTGGCCCCCACAGAACACCCCATTTGTACATTTACAATAGGGTGCCCTTTTCCCTTTTCAGGCACCCCACCCCCTATTTTTTGGCAGCCAAATCATGAATGAGATGAAGCTTAGTCAGCACAAACTCAGAATAAAGAACCCTGCAAAGTTCTGAAGGGGAATTTGCTCTTAACTCTGGAATAGCCGGTGAAACATCCTTGCCCCACAGGCAAGAACGGAGGGCGGGGGGCTTGTATTCCCCACTTGGATTTCCTCATCTCTCCCCGAGGAACAACTTGGCCATAAGTTTCTTCTCTGAGGCCCTCTGGTTGTCTGTCATCTTCCTTCCTTAGATGTGTTGGTATCACGGATAGGCCTGCAATGGTTCTGCAAGCCTCAGAGTCCTCACCTCCTCCCATTCGGTGCTGGCTTAACGCATCCTGCACTCAGAGTCCAGTTCCCAGCAGCACAGAGTGAATTCCCCCTTACCCTGAAAAGTCCCCTTGACTAGCTAGGCCCGCAGAAAGATGCTGTCCTCAGCGCCTCTGGGCTCCCCAGTGAGCAGCCTCCCACACGCCTCAGGCATTGTGACTGGGAAAGCACTTTTAGCCTTATTGTCAAAATGCATTTGCTTCATTACCCAAAAAGAGCAGAGGCACAGCCTCCTGGTTGATGGTGGGCTCTTCTCAGGCTTCCTGGGTTGGCGTCCCAGTTCTACTACCTAAAGAGACTTTTCAGGACCCTGAACAAGTACTCAAACGTGAGCTCTCTGAGCCTCAGTTTCTCATCTTAGAGGCTTGTTCCTGGTGTTAAGTGAGAATCTTTGCAGAGTTTAGCACTTGTCTCTGGATATTATAAGCCCATAGACATGTCAGCTTTTATTAGTACCACTTAGGCAAATGCTAGAGACTTGATTTCTTCCTCTCCTCCCAAGAGGAAATGAAAAGGCCTCCCCTCTCTCTATCTCACCACAGTGACTTAGTGTAGGGGCTCAGCACATGGGGCCAAGGGAACAAATGAAGGCAGTGAGACTGGGCCAAAGCCTGGGGCTTCAGTCAAAGGTTCTTAGCTCCAGGCCTGGCTGCAACCCTCCCTTCCCAGTGTACTCATCTGTGAAAAAGAGTGGATTCAAACACTACCCGTCTGCCAGGTGCGCTGACAGGATTAAATGAGACAGTGCGTAAAAGAGGCACTCTGTAAACTACCAAGGAAATCCAGCTAATTACAACAACAGCGCCTTTACTGGCAAATGCTGTAGAGGACATTTCACTACAGACTATTCTCCTGGGAATAGTCCTCACCTCACTGAACACACACACACACACACACACACACACACACAGAATCCCCAAGAAGTCAGGAGACAGACATACCCTTTCTTCCCATTTTCCAGATGTGGAAACTAAAGTTCAGAGGAGCTAAGGAGGCTGCCTGACACCAAGAGACAAATCCACAAATACAGGGCTGAAGTGTCGGTTTGCAAGCTGATGTCCTCTCTTCCCTCCCAGGGGCTGGGAAGAGGGGATTGCAATAACCCAGCATGATGGCTCCTGCAGAAAAAAGACCCTTTTTCCAAGGCAGCCAAACTGATTAACGTTTTTAATTAATGTTTTTAGCCACACACACAAAACAATGTTCCATGGAAATTAAAGAAATTAAAATTTCTAAGCTTCTCCCAGGAGCTGCCAAGAATCCTGGGCAGACCAGGGTGTTTGCAGCCCAGTGCAAAGCAGAAGGTCATAGCCCCACCTGAAAACGCTGAACCTGCTCAGCGGGGGTCACTGCCCACCCACAGAGTGACAGGCTACTAGGAGAGAACTCGCTCAGAAATATGCCAATGCCAATAATCAGTGGGAGAAGCAGGGAGTGAAGAGGAAGGTCTGATGGGAGGTGCTGGAGCCTGGGACTGAAGGGACAGGTGGCTGCCCCCAGACCCTCTGGCTATCCTCCCACCTGACACAGTTCTTAAGGATGGGATATCCACCTGCTGTGTCACTGACTGAGGTACCTGCACCTGATGTGGCCAAGCAAGCCATGGGCTTTCTAAGGACACTGACAACACGTCCCTGATGTCGCCTGGGACCGCAGAAGGTCATGCTGGGCCCAATGCTGTGCTCTGATGTCTGAGGAGCTTGAATGCCAAGGCCAGGCAGACTCGTGATCTCCGAGGCTCCCAGGAGGTTCGGGGCAGAGGTGTGCTCTGTGTTAACATCTGTTCTCCTCTCTGCCAGCACAATAGCAAGCAAGCTACAGTTTCAGATCATCCATTCCTCTCCACAGGCAAAGAG